GCTAGAGGGGGAACCACAGCCCAACCTGTGAACTGGTTTCAAATGAATGCCCAGCTGCTTTCCTGTTGGGTGATTTTCATCAACACAGAACACGGGGATAAATGCATTTTTGGTTCCATCCTCTCTCCTCACCAAGAAAATGTCTCCACCTGCTGGGCGGTGGCGTGTTTAGAGTGGAGGATGTAGTTGCAGCTGTCCTGCAGGTGGAGGTGGTGCAGGACAAGCAGAGCAGCAGATTTGTGAGTGTTTGTGAGTGAATTTAAAGTAACTTACCCAACACTGAGTATAACTCCTTCCTACATCATGTTCACTGCAGTCTTTTTAGCCAAGCCAACTTTATTTATAAAGCACTTTGAAACAGTAAATGCTGACCAAACATCAAGGACAGAATGAAATTACAGAAAAATAAATAAAATAAAATAATAAAACACGAACATGAATAAATAATAATAATAATAATTGATCCAAAAAATAAAAATATATATTTAAAACACAGAAGGTCCATAAAAAGCACAATTTAAATAAAACAATTAAACTAAAGCCAATTTTTTTTACATTATTTTTTAAATGTTTTAATTTAAAAAAAGAAAGAGATTAGACCTTAAAAAAACCCCACAAATATCATAAATCACTTCTTTTCAGATGATCAGTTTTTGGCACAACACACAGTTTCAGATCTCACAATCAGATGTTGCTCCTGCTTCTCCACACTGAACGCTGCCGTCGTTGCTATGGTGCCATCTTACCCAGAATCTGTGTTAGATGACTGAGACTGCTCCGTCTCTGCAGCAGCGTTCTCGTGTGTTTGCTCACTCGGCTGTGCGCAGGTGCAAATTTCAGTGAAACATTTTAGGAGCTTAAACCATCATTAAGGGGATTACCGAGATTTAATAGGGCCCCCCGCACCTCCACCCCAACCCCATCTTTGGCATTCCCTGTCCTTCTTCCCGCCTCCTCCAGGGCTCAGTCCTCTCACCTGACAAGGATTTGCTCAGCAATGTGAGCAAGTTTCTAAAACCTTTTTAACCAGGCACACAAACACACGTAAAAGAAAATAATAATAATTACTGCGATAAACTAGACAGACAGCAACCACAGTCATCTCTACTGCTGAAGATCGGAATTTGATTGTACTTTTCTCTCATTTCTAGCAGTGTTTAGGCCCCATTTTTGATGGGGTCTAAACAAAGGACTGTGCTGTGCTGGGGGATTGAGCGCTGTAGGCTTTCACAGCTCATGTGGAGGTTTGCAGTCAGGGCAAAAAAGTGAACAATGACAAGAAAACTCAGGGGAACATCTTTAAAATTCCCTCACGGATAAAAGGATATCTTCAGGATCATATCCCAAATGTTTTCAGAACAACATTGGAGCCTTTAAGAAGAGGAGCTCACTGAGAGAGTAAAGATGTCTGAACTCAGCCAAGTTGCTGTATACCCTGACTCCTCAGACATTTATAAGGTGAGTAGGATATGTTGATTTTGACTCCCCATGTTTTTGGATTTTAACCGGATATGTTATGGAGCTACGGCGCCAATTTTCCTGGTTGTAGTTGGATTACCAAAATGAGCAAATGTTCTAAAGGCTCAGATCCCGAGCTTTAGTCAGCATCACTTGGACTTTAGTAATTTGTAGAGAGGCCTTGTATCAAAATCTAGTTTTAAGAGCTTAAGTAGTTTGGTTTGACAAAACAATCCCAGCTCAAGGCTGCTGTCGAGCTTGTTTTCCACAGCTGTCAGCCTTTAGAGTAAAGCCATTCAGCTGTTGTGGAGATTAATCTGTTAAGGGTTTCACTTCAAATGATGAAGACTGGGTAATGTTGTTGAAACAAGAATAGAAAGGTAGTCCAGTGTAAAATGTCTGCACATTAAGTGAGCCGCTAATAGGCTTAAGAGACCATGTTGGCAGTTATTGTCCTGCACATTCTGCCTCTGCTTTGAAACATGTATTTGTCGTCTAGAAAACAAACTTTTGCTGTTTGAGTATACTGCAAATATATCTATGCCCACTGTTTGGCTTTGCAAACTCTGGCTCTTTCCTGGACATTTCTTATGATACTATAACGATTTGTTTGCTTTTTTGAATTTTTACAAAACAGCAATGTGAGAAAAGTGTCTAAGCACACTGGTAATCTCACAAAGAAGTTCTTACCCGGTCATAGGTCATAGTTTAGTTTCTGTAACTTTTTCTCATTGCTGCTTTTTTTTTTCTTTTAGCAAGTGGCTAACTTTATAGCTATAACAAAGAGCAGGGTTCCCACGCAAACATCAGACACAATCAATAACATATAGAAGCTGTTTAAACTACTGAAAAACAAATTTTTATATCTCAAACTTTCAACTCATTAACACAAGCTTCTGAGAAAATAATTTGAAATTTTTCAGTGATGCAGTTAGAATATCCTTTTTTTTTTTGTAGCAAAAACTAACTTCCACAGTAACTAGCTGGTTAACATACCTGGACATTTAGCCACAAAGGAGTCAGATATCTGGCTAACCAGATCTGAAGGTAATGATGGGTCAGTGTCATATGAAATGTTATATGTAACCCGACCAGCAGTGAAATGGAACCATAAGATGTGTGTGTTCTAATAACTGAAGGTGTGTTTTGTTGCTTTTTATTTGAAAGCAGAGGAAGAGTTTAAAAAAGCTGTTTTTAAAACCAGCACTTGTGTGAATCTTTGATTTTTACATCCGCAGAATGTCTTTTGCAATCCCGCCTTTGAGCTGGAGGGGGAGAAGGAGGAGAGGGTGGAGGGATTCAGAACAGCCTCTTCTACTCCTGAGCCAATCAAACCACCAGGAGCAAGTGAGTCAGCCAATCAGCTTGCTGCTTCTTGTGCCTCTACCCTAACGGGATCATTTTATCACTTAAGCTCAGTTTTCTTGAAATATAGGTAAATGTGGCCTCATGATAATTGTACTCAAGTTGTAAAAAGTGTACAGTTGATGCCTTCTTTAGCTGTTCTCAAAGGAAACAAATCCCATAAACATATCATAGTGATGTCATCAGGGTTATGTCAACTTTAAATAGACGTGGTGAGTTTGGAAGTTTTCAGTGATGTCCTTATTTCCAAATGAATGCATTTCCCAGAATACAGTTCTTGAAAAACAAAAAAGAAAACAAAGTGGGGACAAAAGAGATTACAGATGTACTATGCATTTCTTTCAGGCCTAGTCTGGGGATTTTTCGGTGTGTGTGTGATGCGTGTGCGTGCTCCGGGCTGCGGTTGGGGGGTGGTAGTGGTCTCTGCTGCTGTCCTGCTCCTATTAGCAGCCCTAGGACTGATGCTGGTCCTCATTCTCACACGTGAGTCACTGCTGCACATCAACTGCTTCATTACCACAATCTCAAACTGATTAAAAGTATTGAGTGATTTCATAAACCCAGGATCCATGCTAAAACCTCAAAGTACACCATGAACTCACAGATACTGGAGTTTAAAGGTTTCTCAGCATGACTAGTGCTCTCACTGCACATCATAAAAATCTTCTGACCCAGATGTATTTGCTTCCTTATTTAGAGATAAAGAACCAGGCAGTGGAGGATCAGGTGCTGACCACTGCCACTTCAGGCCTACAGCATGCAGGAGATGGACAGTCCCAAGCTTTACCTACAGTCCCTATCAATAGAAGTAAAGAGGACAGTACAGCTGCACCACAACCTGCCAGAATCCCTCCATCTGAACCAAGTAGGTCTGGCCTCTCTACCCAAAATACTTTTGTTGACCTAAGACACAAGGTCTCTCTCTCTCTGCCTCTCAGGATGTGGAGGTGTTTTAACTGACACTGAAGGAAGTTTCAGCTCTCCAAATCACCCTGCGTCCTACCCCCCAAACTCGCTGTGTGTGTGGGTGATTCAGGTCCCGCCCCCCTACCTGGTCCAGATTCATGTCTCCTCTTTGACCGTGGAGGGACCCTCTCCTTGCCTGTTTGACTGGGTGGAGGTGCGGGAGCAGATCGAGCAGACTTCTGTGGTCACCAGGTCAGCGATCATGAAACATACCTTCTTATGAACATCATTCACACCTCCATATTTCCACAAGCAACATTCTTATACACAATCAGAGTAGGAGCATTATGCTGTTTCACTAAACTGCTGATAGATGGCGCCAAAAGCCCGTGCATCATTGGAAAGCGTTTCCATGTACTGAAGGGTTTTTGGAAATTTTGTACGTATCAACACGTTGACCTTTTTGCTCACATTCCTGGACAGTGTCGTAACGTGATTCATTAAATTCCTCTAACTACGTAACACATTTCCTGCTTACAAATCCTTTTAAGAATTTATAGCTGCATGGCTCAGGCACAAAGTTCAATCCAAAGCTGAACAAGAATGAGACTGATCAAAAATAAATGTCTCCCTTGCAGGTTCTGTGGTAACGTAGCGCCACCGACGGCCAACACAAACAGCAGTACGGTGTGGGTCACCTTCCACTCTGATGGCAGCATCGCAGGCAACGGCTTCACTGCCCAGTACAGGGCGGTACTCCCCGGACACAGTCAGTAGCCTGCATCTGGGAGCACATGTGTTCACTCTTGTATATGTTTTGCAACAATGTTCAAGTTAGCACATTGTGTTTTCTCAGAAAGCTGCTCCAGAGAAGAGTTCATGTGCGACGGCGGCCGCTGCCTGCTGCCTGTGTCTGTGTGCGACGGTCATCCAAACTGCCACGACCAGATGGACGAGGCAAACTGCAGCCACAAGCACAAGGGTGAGAGTCCACATATGGAACTAAAACAGAGACAGGAAAGGTCAAAGGTCACAATTCAACTCACTTTTATTTATATAACATTGGATCACAACTGTCACCTCAAGGTGCTTTATATTGGAAGATGAAGACCCTGCAATAACAGAGAAAATCCCAACAATCAGATGAACCCCTACCAGCAAACACTTGATAACAGTTGGAAGGAAAAACTCTCTTTTAACAGGAAGAAACCTCCAGCAGAACCACAATCAGGGAGGGGCGGCCATCATCTGCATCAAGAGAATCCCCCAGCAGTTAGCCTATGTCTATTGCAGTGTAGCTAAGGGGGGATCCAGGGCCACCTGATCAATCCCTAACTATAAGATTTAACAAAAAGGAAAGTGCTAAGCCTAATCTTAAAAGTAGATAGGGTGTCTGTCTCCCGAATCCAAACTGGCAGCTGGTTCCATTAAAGAGAGGCCTGAAAGCCGAAGGCTCTGCCTCCTTTTCTGCTTTTTAAATACCCTAGGAACCACAAGTAAACCAGCAGTCTGAGAGCAAAGTGCCCTATTGGGTTGATATGGTACTATGAGGTCTTGAAGAAAACATGGGGTCTGATTATTCAAGACCTTGTATATGCGGAGAAGGATTTACTTCAATTCTGGGATTAACAGGGAGCCACTGAAGAGATGCTTTTCTTTTTCACAGAATGCGGTGGGCAGAAGATTGGGCCGCATGGTTACCTGGCAAGCCCAAACCACCCCGGGCCTTACCCTCACCAGCAGGTTACATTCTAAACCATTCAAACTGAAAAATAATCCTAATAGTAATTGAAAACACAAAATTATAAAGATTCAGAAGTACTTCCACATGCATAACACATTCTCAGTCCGACAGCCACACCACGCAGTTTTCTCCACCAATCTGATGTTTTCCAGTTGTGTATATGGCATATATCTGTTGAGGAGGGTCACGTGATCACGCTGAGCTTCAGAAACTTCAGCCTGGAGACTCAGGATGTGTGTGAGTTTGACTATGTGGAGGTGCATGACAGCGTCAGCACCGGAGCTGGAAGAGTCCTCGGAAGGTGAGAAGTGCCACAGTCTTTAATTCTGAGGGTAACTAAGGACAAACACATTTACCTTCATGCTAGTTAAACAACCAGTTTTCTGGAGTACCTTTTGTGTCTCTTCTCCCTTTGTGCCAGGTTTTGTGGTACCACCTTCCCCCCAGAGCTGACCTCCTCTGGCCCTCACATGACAGTGGTGTTTGTGGCTGATGAGGGAGTGGCCGACAGTGGCTTCAATGTAACATACCAGGCTGTGTCTGTGCTGGGCAGTGAGTTTTCATACTTTAATATTACTTTTTTTTTTTGCATTAGCTTTCTATAAACCTCTTTTACATCCTTTTTATTTTTAAAGGGACATGCGGCCCCAAGCAGTTCGCCTGCAGCACAGGGGAGTGTGTTCAGCAGCAGTGGCTGTGTGACGGCTGGAACGACTGCCCCGATGGTGCGGATGAACAGGGCTGTGGCAACTCCACCTATCCTCCCTTTAGTGAGTCTGGTTTATCTCTGACCTCAATCACAGCCAGTTTTTGTTTCCACTGCCAATGAAAAGCAGCAGGAAGAAACTTAAGTGTTGAAATAACAGGAATTGCCGATGGCTTCATATTCTGAGAAAACCACCAAATAGAAATGTTACCACTTTTCACCTCTATGTCGACATGGTTTTGTGGTTTCTATTTGTAAGTGTTTCTCTGAATGCATAATTTCCTCTCATGAAAGTAGCCTCGTCTTGTGAGCACATTGAAGTAGAGATGTGTCGGGGCCTCAGCTACAACTTCACCTCATTCCCCAACATCTGGCTGTCCATTGCTGACCAGAGAGAAGCGGCCACCCTCCTGGGACAGTATCGGGTAAAAGTCACATCAAAAAGCTTCATCAGACATCTGGAGCTGTCGCTGGCAACTGTTTCAAACCAGGCATCAAACCATCCTCCCTCCCCTCCTTTTGTCATCCAGGTGCTGATGGAGCTGGCGTGCTTTGAGCCTCTGCAGAGGCTGGTTTGTGGGATGTTTCTGCCCCAGTGTAGTCCTCAGGGCGGCGTCCTCCAACCCTGCCGCTCAGTCTGCTCCTCGGCCGAGCAGCAATGCAGCCAAGCCCTGGATCTCTTTTCCTTCAGCTGGCCCTTCAACTGCCACCTTCTCCCAGACTCACAGGACCCCTTGGAGTGCTCACTGCCTTGAAGCTGGGACAGTCCAGTTACCTTTGAGATCATATCAGGCCCAGGCAGGAAATACCAGAGCGTTCGAGGACCTTACTTACCTTAGTGGAAACAAAGGTTTACAGTTTTAAACACAGTTTGTAATACATATGCTCAGTATATATGAGACCACATGCAGTTTTAAAGTAGACAGCTAAGTAAAATGAAAGCTTTCGATCTCCGACGGGAATCAGACTGTTTTACTGTAAATTGCTGTATTTATTTAATGCTTTGATGTCAATCTTGTAAATTAAATAAACCATGCAGAGAAAATATGTTTAAAACAAAGTTTATTGCATTGTTCTTCAACATACCACATCACTCCTAAATACTCCGATTACTTCATTGATCTAATGTTAGCTAACACAGGAAACAGGCTGTCACAGCGGTACTTTGCTGCCCTGACAAACATTTAACAATTCACAGTCATGTGACATAATTGATCTGAGAAAGCAACTCACTGATTTTATTTCAACCCAGGTGGTAACTTTTATTATAGAAATAATTAAAAGACTTACCTAAAAACGTAAAGAGTTTGAATAAGAATCACTCGGTGTAAAATTATAACGTTGACCCACCAGGTTCACGTTCTTCCTTAGAAAAGCTTCCAACACCTGCTTTTCATTTTTAAACAATCATACAAATTTAAGGCTCAGAAAGTGCTTCTTCCTCACTCGAATAAATTCAAGAGAGGAATTTACCTTCCAAAACAAAAGTGGCTGTATTAAACTATTTTGGATTTGCTCAGATTCACTTGGTGCAAAGCTTATATTTGTCAGAATAATCCTTCAGTTGTTGAGTTCAGTTGTTGTGCGCCATTATGGAGGGACAATGAGTTTCAGGGTATGGTCTAGGGCAACAGCAGTCAGGCCCCACACTCGATATTTGCCATTCCTAAACACCGGAAGAGTGTATCCGTATTTGTCACCGGTGCGGAAGTGTGTGTAGCCTCGGTTTTGGGGGTTACACAAGTGAGACAAGGACAGGGTGAAGATCTCATCCACCTGGAAGCGGGAAACAGACTCTCAAACTTTTGGCATTTTTATTCGATTCAGCTTGAGTAATTATATTTTTAAAAATTGTCCAGCTCCTTGGAAGCAAAATATAAAGCAATGAGGAGTTGCTCAAGACTTCTGCACAGTACTATATATTAGGGTCAAGAATAACATGAGACTAGTCAACTCTAGTCTCACCCTGTTCTTTTCAAACAGACAGAAAATGGCAGATGATCGTACCTCCCCAGGGTTTGGTTTGAAGTTCAGCTCCTCTAGAGGACCGAGGTTAGCCAGCACAGGAGCAATAACCATGCCCGACTGGACCGAAACACATGAACAGATTTTTAATTCAAATTTATCTCAGATATTCGAATGTTTTGAAGGTTTTTACAGAAATTCCTGCTCATTTCTATTTTATCTACTTGTATAAGGAATCTTTGGGTATTTTGGGCAGATGGTCAGACCAAATAATCAACACAGAGCTCTTACAATGTCACATAATCCTTTTTCACCATTATTTATCAACTAAACAATGAATTTACAAAAAGAACAGTGGTAAGTGCTTATTTAGGGTAACATAAATATGGTATGATGTTGTCAATTATTTTTTAATATGCATTTCTACTTGAGAGTTCTACCAGCACAGCTCCACTCACCGCATCTCTTAGTGGCTTCAGGACGCCCCACACCTTTTCTATTCTCACATTTACACCCAGCTCCTCCCTGGCTTCCCGCAATGCTGTGGCCACCACATCACTGTCTGAAGGATCGCTCTTTCCTCCAGCAAAGCTGGACAAAAAAAAAAAAAGCAGGACTCATAAAGTACTCCAATAAGTAAGATTTAAGACATAGCCTGCTTCTAATCTACCACTAACCTGACATCTCCTTTGTGCCTGCCCTTCAGAGTGCTGGACCGCAGGGTGAAGAGAAATGCAGGCTCCCCATCAAGAGAGCAGAGGGAGACCAGGACGGATGCCCATCTCTGATTTCGTTCTTTCCTCCCCTTCTGCAACTCGTAGAGCTTCAAGTTAGGGCCCAAGTGCTGTCGACATCTGTTTTCATTCCCAGGGGATAAGCAATCTCTCCAGGTATCCGACACGCACGTGGCAGCCTGATGAGTAGCTATGGTTTGGTGGAAACTGAGGGTAGGGAGTTGTGGTTTATTGTGCTTGTTTTCTAAAGTCCAGGGACTATGTGCTGACAAGCTGAGAGGTCTAACGAAGTCTTGTCCATGAGTTAAATGGCTTTGAAGAAGGCTACACTGAGTCTTACTGGTGCGGCTAAAAGAAGGCAGGTGAAAGTCCCAAGGTTTTCTCCAGCGCTGAAGACAGGTTATTTTGACTAAACAGTTCCAGTAAGTGCGCACAGGATCACACACTTGTTTGGTTTTTGTAGAGGCAGAATGGTGGTGGTTTAATGAAATGGCTTTGAATAGAGGGTTTTCAAACCGTGTCTGTCTCAGCTTATAATTGAAGCTACAAGAAGATACTGGTGCTGAACTATAAACAGTCTCTGTGGATGGTCCATCCTTGTGGGTGCCTGTTCCACTTATTTCTGAGTGTCTCCTTCCTTTCTCGTGACTTGCTCCCTGCCATCCAGCACATGTGATCTCGGAAAAACCACAGAGATGAGAGTCTCTTAACAGCTGTAATGATCTTTTGGGGCAAGACCAAGTCAGAATCCGAGAACTTGCCAACATCCTATAAACGGAAACAAAACATACAGATATGATCGTAAATGTATTAGTCAATTAGTTGTGTTCATCAGCTAGTTAAACCAACTTGAAAGAAGTGAAAGATGAACTAAAATCTGCTCGTCTCTGCCAGCAGGGGAGGTGAGGGATCAGATAACATGGGTAAACAGGGCTGAAGATACCCTGGCTTAACCGAGATCAGAGGCTCACCCAAACCTACCTACAGTGATACTGGTCACTGTGCTCTCACAGTCATATCTCGGTGTTACGTTTAACTGTTGTTCAAAGCTGTTAAGACACAGAAACGTATTTTATATATTAGCTTCGAATACGGAGTTCACGTTTGGCTCAAGTTTCTCCCAAACTTGGGTTGAATACAGCTAGCTAGCTAGCTGTATTCATTTGTTAGCAGTGATGACGATATATATATATAAAATATGACATTGTCAATGTTCAGACGTCCTCATCGCCAACTAAAACCATGCAAAGAAGGCGTTTTGGGCGAGAAAATCTTCAGTGTCTTTAAAACGAGTAAGGTGCGCACGCAGGCTAACTGACCGAGCGATCAAAACAAAAACCAAACAGCTGAAGTAGCTCATACCCCAAAGCTAACACTCAGATTTGGCTTATGACAAAGCCCCAACGTGTTTCACGGTATGTCAGAAAACACACCAAGGTGCCAAGTATGACAGTAAAACGTCATTTTAACACAGAAAATGCTCACCTTGAAAGTTGAATCAGCAGCGGCTGGGCGGCTGCCAGCAGTCAATATGGCGCCGGCTAGCTTCACTCGCGTCAGTGTTGCCCTCACCACGTCGTGATGACGCCAAACTTATTGCACAGCATTCAAGCTTAGCCTGTTGTGCTTTCTTTGTCCCCTCCCGAGGTTTGGTTTTAAGACACGACATTTACGTTATTTAGTGATTAAATCACGTGGAAAGCACCAAATGATGTCAGTTTATGTAACAGGTTTTTAAAACCAGTCCTTCTCGTTTGGACTGTGTAGGCCCGCTTCCTTTACAGAGGAGACTAAAACAGGCGCTCTTTACAGTTTTTTGCCTATGGGCAGACTGCCTGGCAAGAATGAATGTGACTGGATGATTAAACTTAATTAATTCGTTTGAGTAGCAAAAATCAACAGCAAAATTCATTTTTCCATTAGGAGGCTCCAACAAACTGTTGAAACCCATGATGTCAGATTGATAGACTCCTCACTCCACCTGTTTAACCAGCCCCACCCTGAGCCGTTTCTTCATGTTTTAAGCAGCAGGTGATTCATATGAATTGGCATTTTAGCCTCGTCATTTGTTGGGTGTCATTGCTTTAATTTCTCTGACCTGCTTGCTGTAGTATCAGTTCCGTGACTTCACACAGAGAACTTTGTGATCCATACAAAGAAAGTTTAAGCTCATCTCTTCCCAGCGAGCATGGCCTCAGGTTGGACTGAAGAGGAAAGCTTTGCCTGTCCAGTATGTCTGGAAACCCTGAAGGATCCAGCCACTCTACCCTGCGGACACTCATACTGTTTGGCTTGTATTCAGAGCCACTGGGACAAAGGGGGCAGCAAAGGTCAGTACAGCTGCCCCCAGTGTAGGCAGGTGTTTAACCCTCGGCCCTCGCTGGCCAAGAGCACCCTGCTAGCAGAGGCTATGGAGAAGCTGAGGACCAACAGCCTGAAGCAGCACTTCTTCACAGCTCCTTCCCCCGGCCCACCATCCATGCCGGTCTATTTGGAGGTCCAGCCAGATACAATGCAACGAAAGGGCAGCGTGTACCCACAGCTTCCCTCTGTGGAACCCAAACCCTGCCACCAACACGGCCGACCCCTGGACCTGTTTTGCCATGACGACAGGGAGTGTGTGTGTGAGGTGTGTTGCCAGCATGGACACAGTGGACACCGTGTTGTCAAACCGAGAGACGAGCGAAAAGAAAGACAGGTGTGTAATTGGAAGTGATTATTTCAGGTGATATTTTCACTCTGCTTTTATTTTTGTTTATTTGTTTTTGGGTCTCTAAACAACTTTTAAAATTAAAGTAAAATGCTGGTAAAAGAAATACACCACTATAAATGCAGTTTCCAAGTGTAACTAAAACATTTCTTAAGCTAATCTTGAAGGACTTGAAAAACAAGTCTGAAGTGCGCCTTACTGATGTTATAGTGATTCCCAGCAAAACTATGTAACAATATCACAAATAGCCTGTACAGTCTCAAGTACAGTCATTACTGCCTCACAATGTATGTGTGCATGTGTTTGTGTATAGAAAGAGCTTGTTCAGATGCAAGCAGAGGTACAGAGGAGGCTCCAGGAGACGGATAGGAAGATTAAGGAACTCCCACATTTTGCACGTCAAGACAAGGCATGTAGAAAACCTTATTAATTCATGCCATCCTTGTTTACTTTGAATAATACGAAATTGTGGTGACAATATGTCCCTCATCTTGCTTGTCTACACTACCAGGCCTTGGTCCAGGCTCTAGAGAAGGAGAGCACAGATTTATTCATGGAGCTAGCCAAGAACGTGAATCTAACAGGCACCCAGGTCAGCGAGCTCCTCTCTACCCACGAGGCCTCTTTAGGCAGCCAGGCTGAGGGGCAGCTCAACAGACTGGAGCAGCAGGTTGCACAGCTCAACTGGAAGAGTGAAGAGCTGAGCAGACTGGCTGACATGCAGGACGATGTCTGTTTCTTGAAGGTAACGAGTGTGAAGCGGAGTGCACATATTTTAGTGCTAAACTAGATCTGTAGTCTCTGACTGTGGAATTTGTGGTATTTGTTCTCAAGAACTTCCTCCTCATGGAGCCGCTGGTTCAGACTGATGCCACAGTGATTGGGCAGGAGGAAACCATGGTGACGTCAGTCCGCTCAGTCATGAAAGAACTGCAGGAGTCAGTTCAGGATCTCTGCAAAGGCAGCCTGGAAAAAATCATCACAATAGGTCAGCTCTTCTCTTCTACTCTCTTCTCGTCTTTTCTCTTCTCTTAATAACATAAGGTCAAAATTTTCCTTTTGCAGTGAATAACCCCTTGGCTTTGAATACCAGTGGTCCGGAAGCAGCAGGCCTGCTACCAGCGGGACCAGTACCAACAGGCCCACTACCTGCAGACCCGCTACCAGCTCAGATTCCTGCCCAAAGTACAGGTACGTTAAATACCAGTCCAATAAAAGCACAAATGAGCTTTGTTTTGACTGTTAGCTTTTGACTGTGGAAAGGACACCTTTTTACATGTAAACCCTTTTCTTCTGTAGTGTATGAAATGAAAACAGACTCTCCACCCTTGCCACCTTTGCGACCTCAAGGTAAAACATGCGCGCACACACACACACACACACACACACACACACGCACACAGAATATACTTTAATGTGGCATTTGAAAAAACACTGAGTTCATATTTTACTCTTGTTTTTATTTTTTTCACCTCAGGGCCTCTGCCTTCAAGGTCTGGTGGTTCTGCTTACATTCAAGGTAATGCTTGAAAAGGGTTTCTCTAATGTTGGCTGTCATGGAGTTTAGATATGCTTTAGTTTAACTGTTCTGTTTGTTGCTTCTCTCTGTGAATGAAGCTTCAGCCCCACCTCCACCCTTGCCTGCTCCTCGACATCAAGGTAAAAGCACAAACATTATCATTGACGATATCCACGTCAGGCAGTTACCCCGTCTTGTAGGAGATAAAAGCTGGCTGTGGACAGCTTTGCTCACCTGACCTTTCACAGATACCTCTTAGAGTATCTTGGGGTTAAATGTTACTTTTCCTTTTTACAATGGTGTATTTTTTTTCTGTCTTAACAGCTTCTGTATCATCAGTGGGATTTATGAAACCAGAACCAAAAACTCGAGATGAACTCATAAAATGTAAGTCTTTTGTACTCCAGAATACAGACCCCTTTATCGAAGCCTTTGTTTGTTCCAGTCTTAGGTAAAATGACAAATCCTCTTTCTTTAGTTCGTTTCGAACCCACTATGGACCCCAACACAGTGTATCGCCACGTTCTGCTGTCGGATGGCAATCGTAAGGCAACGATGCGGGCTGAGAACCTGAACCCACCAGACCATCCTGATCGATTCCAGTTCTGGAGACAGGTTCTCTGCAAAGAGCCGCTGGGAGGGAGCCCTTATTACTGGGAGGTGGAGTGGACTGGCCAGAAGGTGCTTGGATATGATTAAAAATATATATATGTGTGTGTGTTTTCAACTGTGACTGTTTGAGTCGTAGAATTAGTTAACATGCTTTGTTTGCCCAGTCAGTGCTAAGTAATGGTTATGAAAGAACTCTAATGCCATAAAAGTCTTCAGACCTAAAAGCAAAATAGAAGTCTCACAATAGTAAGTCTGACTAAAGAAAGCTTAAATCAATATTCTATGTCCTACCATTCCTTTTAGGATAGGTTTTGGCTATAAGCATTTTTAGTTTTATATATTTTAATTAAAATAAATGTTTTTGAGGATTTAAATCATGCAGCCAGCATTTGTCTACACAGGTAGTCTGGTAATAGAGGGAACTGCCCTTTGTGCTCCATTTTAATTGGCTAATGGAATCCATGTATACAGAAACTTCAAAGGAAACCAGTCATTTCAATTACTTTCTGCCTGGAAAGTAATTCATTTTCTCACACAATGCACAGAGTTGCATCATAGTTTATGCCAAGTCATACTGTATTAGAGTACCAGAGAGGCCCTAAGGACAAAAGTGCTGTAAATACAAAAATTACTGACATTTCTATTAGTCACGGCTGCGCTCGTTAAAAGACACAATCTGTTCAACATACATATTTGTCATGTTATTTTTGTAGGTTATTTTTAAAAAAGAGCCACATGACCTCCAGTTCTGAAAACCTGTTTAATGCACTTGTGCATTAAACAGGCTCTTTTAATAACCAACAGGGGGCGACTCTTCTGATTGCAAAAGAAAAAGTAACATTGTATAAAAATCTATGAAAATTTGATCCTACTTTTGAATTTATTTATGACCTTGATAAATATATTCTTAGTCATCTTATGGTCTCAATTTGTAGTTTAAAGTTCTGTTGTTTCCCTTTTTGTTTTTTGTTTTTAAAGTGATTAGCAAACGACTCTTACATTTGTGCCCCTCACTGAATTTATTTTCCTCACTCCCATCATGCAGGTCACCATCGGAGTTTCCTACAAAGAGATAGAACGCAAGAGTAATGATGACAAGAGCCGTTTGGGCCACAATGAGCTGTCTTGGAGTCTGTACTGGTCTGGGAGCGGATTTTCCTTTTGGCACAATAACCAGGAAAAACTGCTGGGTGCACCAAAGGCCAAACGGATCGGCATCTACCTGGACCAGCATGCAGGGATTCTGGCCTTTTACAGCATCACCCAAAACCAGGCTACCCTCATCCACAGACACCAGCAGCAGTTCACTGGCCCTCTGTTCCCAGGATTCAGATTCTGGGCAAGAGTAGGTGCTACAGTAACCATTTGCCAATTAGACTGATGTGCACAAGAGTAATTATCTGATGTTTTTGATTAAAGATGTTTATCTGGCTGCAAGAATGTAACAGCTTAAGGTTTTTAAAAAGGATGTCAAGGATGCCTTCTTGCTCTGGAGAGAACTAGTTCAGTCAGTTCTTGTTTACATAATGATTTTGCACCAACCATGATTCATGTAATATAAATAAATTTTAATATGTCTATGTAAGTAAATAAAAGATTAATAAACTTGCAAC